CAAGAGGTCCTCTCACCGTACCAGAAGTCCCTCTCCTTCACCTCAGATTGACAAGAGGTCCTCTCACCATGCCAGGAGTTCATCTCCTTCACCTCAGATCAACAAGTGGCCTTCACACCATGCCAGGAGCCCCTCTCCTTCACCTCAGTTTAACAAGAGGCCCTTGCATCGTTCTCAAAGTCCCTCTCCTCTTCCAACTCAGATTGACAAGAGGTCCTCCCATCGTGCACGGAGCCCTTCTCCTCCACCTCAGATTCAAATCCAGAGTCATACCTCTTCGCAGAGCTCCATGGAGTCATCAGAGTCAAGCCGAATCTCAGTGGGATCAACAGGGCGGAACAAGGAGGAGTATGCCATGATGGCTGACCTGCCAAAGGTCAAAAGGATCCATCAGAAGGAGGAGCCGAGCCACATGGGGCAGCCACAGAACAGCCAGCCTATCCGGAGGCAGGAGCTCTTTAAACCAGCCAGGTCAGACTGATAGTGATACAAAAAAATGAAGGAACAAGGGACTGGTGCTTGTTAAATACTTAGATATGCTGTTGAATCCTGATGCATATTTCATTTCTGTTTTATCTGATTTTGTTTGCTACGTATTTGAACCAACTTGTTCTGAACTTTGCTTTTGGTACGCCATCAGATTTCACTTGATTGGACACACCGATAATGTTTGTGTCGTTTCAGTCACTCCCTCAGCAGGCATCCCTCAACGGAGTGGGATGATACATGGGACACCGAGAGAGAACGGCACTATGGGGGCAGTGGGTATCTATCTCGAACTCAGTCCACTACCTCATTACAGGTAGGACATTTGGGACCAATGTGGGCTACATTAAAGAATGAAAAGTTCAATTTTAGCCTGTTATACAATTGTCTAAAATTGTGTTTTACTTTAGTGACTCAAATAAAGCTGAACATTAAAGAAAAACAGCACTTATCAATACCATTATTGTATGTTTAATGGAAATGCACAGAGAAAATGGGTGGCAGCAGTATAGCTGAGCCTGGGAACAAAGTTTAAAACCCTACAGTGGTATGCAGTCAGCATTAAGCCCCTTTCTTTTTGCACAATATAATCCACTGTGCTGTTGCAGCTTGTGTTTTATTTGGTCCCACATGTGTTAATGCTTAACCACATCTTCCACATACACTCGATTTGGAAAAAGTCTGTGATTGTGAAGCTGTGTGGAGCCTTTTTTGTCTTTGTGTTTGTCGGACATTGATTATCTTTATGCTACATGCTGTTCTTATCCAGAGATCTGGCAGTCCCACGGCAGATGAGAGCAGTTCTTGGAAAAGTAATCATCACAGATCAGAACAAATGCAGGTAAGTGCTATAACAGCCCACATGTTGAAGGTAAACCTGTGCGATTGCATGAAGCGACCATGAATCATATAAAGGGCGAGGTTTGTTTTCTTGTTAATGCTAAAGTTTGCGATGCATGTAATAAACTTGAAGCGAGCCAAGTTTAATGCCCCACAGAGTCTATTTAAATAAAAGCACATCTCTGTTACATATTTACAAGTGTTCACACCCATCTTTCCATTTTTAGCTTTTATGGACATGCTAAGCTGTTTATATAAATTTTTGGGCTTATTAAAGAAGCAGTGCAGCTGTATAAATGCATCCTTTTTACTTTTTGGCTGTTTATCTTCTATTTCCGTCACTACTTTTGATTTGCTACTTTTCTCACAACTCTGGAAAAACACATGCAAAGAAATATTTCAAAACATTCGGCTTGA